TACCCATGGGACACTAAAAGCAGGGATAAGATGAAGCAACCAGAGAATAAAATACATGAAAGCACTCCCAGGCTTTGCAATATTTATGGATAGATAGATAGATAGACGGACGAGTAGACCTCTGGCACATGACCTTTAGCACAATTCTCTGGGGTCGGGAAAACGTGTGCCACGCTGGAGCCAGGACTGGGAGTGGCAGGCTCTGGGGAACACAAGGGCTGAGGCAATCAAAGGGGCCACGAGGTGGTGGGTCTCCTAGGACCTCCGGCTCCAGCAGCACTTCCCATTCATTCTAGGTGGACATACCAAAACAGCTGCTAGAGCAACTCGACTCAAGAAGTTTTGTATAGGTTCTATTGCTTAATATCTTTTTTTTTTTTTTTTTGAGATGGGGTCTTGCTCTGTTGCCCAGGCTGGAGTGCAGTGGCACGATCACAGCTCATTGCAGCCTCCACCTCCTGGGCTCAAGCAATCCTCCCACCTCAGCCTCCTGAATAGATGGGACAACAGGTGTGTGTCACCACTCCCAGCCAATTTTATTTTTACTTTTAGTAGAGATAACTCCTACGTTGCCCAGGCTGGTCCTGAACTCCTGGGCTTAAAAGATCCTTCTGCCTTAGCCTCTCAAAGCATTAGAATTACAGGTGTGAGCCACTACATTTGGTTTGGTTTGGTTTTGTTTTTTTTAAAGAGATAGTATCTTGATGTTGCCCAAGCTGGAGTGCAGGGGTGCGACATAGTCACTGCAGCCTTGAACTCCTGGGCTACAGTGATTCTCCCATCTCCGCCTTCTAAGTAGCTGGAGCTACAGGCATGCAACACCACGCACAGCTAACTTTTTGTTTTGTAGAGACAGGATCTTGCAATGTTACCCAGGCTGGTCTTGACCTGAGCTCAAGCAATCCTGCCTCAGCCTCCCAGACCGCCGGGATTATAGGCGTGGGCCACCGCAGCCAGCCATGTGTGGCTTTCTGACCCAAGGATGATCCAGAAGCAGAAGTCCCTAATGGGAAATTGCTCTCCCAATCCTGGGATATACTTCTGAGCCCAGAGAACAAACCCATGAATCCACGAGATGACCACAGAGTCAGGTTCTCAGAACTTCTCTGCAATCCCAGGAGAGCACCCTCCATTCCTGCCCCTGTACCTTTCCCTTCTCTTTCCCCTTTGGCACACGTTAGATCTGTGATTCTCCACAAGAGCATGGGAATCACTGGAAACCTTGTAAGAGACAACCAGCATGGGAGGGTAGGATTCTGCATTTCCAACAAGCCCCCAAAGTGCTCCTCTGAACTCACTTTGGGCAGCAAGACCCCAAGAGGCCATAACCCAGGACTCAGACATTCGTTACTGTCTTCAAATTCAGAAAGCAAACAAGCACCTCTAGAAATGTCTTTTTGGGCCCCTGGAGTATTAGAAGCAGTGGGAGGGATGGCCTCGTAAGCCCTGCTCCTATAAGGGACTGGAGGGGAATTCGGACCTGTGAGTCCCTGCTCTGGCTACCCTGTGCCCTGGGTCTCCCAAAACCCAAAACCCCTCCTGGTTTCCCGGCTCTGCCCAGCCCCTTTGCTCAGACAGGTTGAATACCTTCTCCTTCTCCCTGGAAGAGAACCCCTTCCACTATTCCAGTGGTCAAGATTTGTTTACAACAAATGTCTAAACAATAAAATGGCGTTATCACAGCATCAGCACTGAATAAGCAGAAGCCACCAGAAATGGGGAGACAGAGGGCAGAACCTGATTTATCCAGTCACCATGGTCCTGAAAAGCTACACACACAAACGAAATGAGATAGATACATAGCCAGATAGATAGACGTACACACACATACACACACACACACACACAGAGAGAGAGAGAGAGAGAGAGAGAGAGAGAGAGAGATAAATAGATACTTTTTATTTTTTGAGACACAGCCTGCTCTGTTGCCCAGGCTGGAGTGCAATGGGGAGATCTCAGCTTACCAAAACCGATTCAAGCAATTCCCCTGCCTCAGCCTCCTGAGTAGCTGGGATTACAGGCATGCACCACCACACTCGACTAACTTTTGTACTTTTAGTAGAGACAGGGTTTTGCCATGTTGGCCAGGCTGGTCTCAAGCTCCTGGCCTCAGGTGATCCGCCTGCCTTGGCCTCTCAAAGTGCTGGGATTACAGGCGTGAGTCACCATGCCTAGCACAAAATGAGATATATTTCAAGTACATATTAAGGCAACCAAAGGAAATCATTTTCCAGCAAAATCTTAGAAAAAGCTCAAAATCCTGCTGTAAAATATCTAATCACCTTTGAGCTTAGTTCTGGTTTCTATCCAGCTTTTCATCTGTCAATTATATTGGAAAAAGAAAGGCACCGCCCGGGTCTCAGAAAGGCCTCTCTGGAGGCTGCAAGGAAGCTCCCTTTCCCAGGGTGTGAAGACCCTGAGCTCTGCCATGCTTCATCCGCAAGGCTGGCTTCCAGGCCAGTGCCCGACACCACTCCCAAAATAGGTTGTCTGCAGTTTTAGGAGTGGTGCTTTGGGTCTGCACTCTCAAAACAGTTTATGGACAGGAAGAAAATGCATGTAGAAGAGGAAGGAAGGAAGGCAGGAAACATACAAAACCACTTTAGCTCTACTGGTTACCCCCCGCCCCCCCGCAAAAAAAAAAAAAAAAACAAAAACAAAAAACAGCTTCCAACCTGCTCAGAATAACTCTAAATGAAAATCTACAGAGGCTCAAGAGATGTCCTTGCAAAAATGCAACTTCCAACTCCAGCTGGCCCAGCCAGGCCGGCAACAATGTGAGAGGAGAGAGATAAATCAATTAGGCAAAGAGTTAGGGCAAGGGTCCTTAGCAGAATTCCCTTCTAACAAAAAGCAGCCTAAGAGGTCATTTTCCTTTAAGAAACACAGATAAAGAAGGAAAGCTCTAACAGACAAAGGGGTCCCCTGTGTGACATACAGACATACAGTGGGCCCCAGTAAGCACAGTCCTCTCCCTTCTTAGAAATACTCAGGCCGGGAGCAGTGGCTCACACCTGTAATCCCAGCACTTTGGGAGGCCACGGCAGGCAGGTTGTCTGAGGTCAGCAGTTCGAGACCAGCCTATTCAACATGGTGAAACGCCATCTCTACTAAAAATACAAAAATTAGCAAGCGTGGTGGCGGGCGCCTGTAATCCCAGCTACTTGGAAGGCTGGAGAATCACTTGAACCTGGGAGGC